GTATAAAAAAAAAATACAAACGCATACACGTATAAATGTTGAATGAGATCTTCACTTTGTTGCAATCTTCTTTATTCGCAATAGTATTTGTGTTCATTTTCCTGATCTTCTTATTGAAATGTCTCTCAACTCCAATAGCCACAAACCCACCACCATCTCCACCTAAGCTTCCAATAATTGGAAACCTTCACCAACTAGGATTGTACCCTCATCGCTCGCTTCAAGCCTTATCTCAACTCCATGGCCCTCTCATGCTTCTCCATTTTGGAAGTGTTCCAGTCCTTGTTGTTTCTTCAGCTGAGGCAGCCAAGGAGATCTTGAAAACTCATGACCTCACATTTTCTGACCGACCCAAGTCCACCATCTTTCAGAAGCTCCTCTACAACTACAAAGACGTCTCAACAGCGCCATATGGTGAGTACTGGAGGCAGGTGAAGAGCATATGTGTTTCTCATCTCTTGACCAACAAAAGGGTACAATCCTTTCGCTGTGTGAGAGAAGAGGAAACCAAGTTGATGATTAAGAAAATAAATCAGTCTTGCAGTACTAACGAATCTTCAGTTGTGAATTTGACTGAAATGGTTGTGACTCTTACTAATGATGTTATATGTAGAATTGCGTTGGGGAGAAAGTATTGTGGTGGAGAAGGAGGGAAAATGTTTAAGGAGATTCTGGGGGAGTTTATGGAGTTGTTGGGACGTCTTGTGATTGGGGACTATATCCCGTGGCTTTCTTGGTTGAGCTGTGTCAACGGTTTGGGCACTAAACTGGACAAGGTGGCTAAAAGGTTTGATGACTTTTTAGATGGAATTGTTCAAGAGCATATAGATGGTGCAAAGAGTGGGGTTGAGCATGAGGAAAAGGACTTTGTGGACGTTTTGCTTTGGATTCAGAAAGAAAACCTAGCTGGTTTTCCTCTTGCTAGAGTTAGCATAAAGGCCCTCATCTTGGTAACTCAACTCACTTTAGTTCAGTAAAACAACTATTTCTGTCCGATTGTGCTGCATAAACTTCTTTTGTATACAGTGCATATATATATATATATATATATGTATATCTCTCTCTCTCTCTTTCATCACATAGCATTTTATAGGCATATGAATTATTAATATAGGTGACTCAGTAGTTTAAGTATTTTGTACTAGTAATACGTAATGATATGAATAATATGGTCTATCTAGCGTTACTAGTCTTATAATAATTCGGTTATTCATTAACGTCGGTGGATCATTCTCCTTGAAGGATATGTTTGCTGCTGGCACTGATACATATACAATCATAGACTGAGCAATGTCTGAGCTTTTGAGGCATCCAAGGGTGATGAAAAAACTGCAAAAGGAAGTAAGGGGAATAGCAAGAAGTAAAACCGAGATAATAACCGAGGATGATTTGGTTGGAATGCACTACTTGAAGGCAGTGTTCAAGGAGACTCTTCGTTTACATCCTCCAGTTCCATTACTAATGCCAAGAAAGTCAACCCAAGATGTGAAAATCCATGGCTACGACATTAAAGTCAACACACAAGTCATAGTGAATGCATGGGAAATCGGAAGAGATCCCAAATCCTACGAAAAACCGGAGGAGTTTGAGCCAGAAAGGTTCTTGAATAGCGGTATAGATTATAAGGGGAATGACTTTGAATTGATTCCATTTGGAGCTGGCAGGAGGGGCTGCCCAGGAATTCAGTTTGCCATGGCGGTTAATGAAATTGGTTTGGCAAATTTGGTGCATAAATTCGATTGGGAGTTGCATGGTGCTGCAAGAGCGGAGGATTTAGACATGACCGAGTCTACTGGTTTAACCAAACGTAGAAAATACCCTCTTAAAGCGGTTGCTATTCCATATTTATAATGAGCTTGCCATATTCCATATGGAGGATTTAGACATGACCGAGTCTACTGGTTTAACTTGCATATGCCATATGGAGGGCAATAATAAAGTTTAAGTTAATAATCAATTGAGAGTATATCGCATCTTATTCAAAAATAAAGTTTAAGTTAATAATCAATTGAGAGTATATCGCATCTTCGTTTTTGAATAAAGTGTAGTATGGTGTGCTAAGAAAGTAAAAATAAATAAATAAGTGCTTCTCTTATATTTTGTTTATAGTATTCTAAACCCGATTTCTTTTGTTCATATATATGAAAGTGCTGAAGCACTGATTAGTAACGTAATATAATGGTGACCACACGGTGGGCTCACTCCACAATATTTTTCCAAGATTCTTCAAGTCCAATTCTTAACTCAACGACGCCTGAACAAAGGATTCCAAGGTATTTCTGGTCAAAAATAACACATATAATACAAGTATGATAATGGTAGAACCGGATTGTTAAACAAAGAGAGATGATTATGAGATGGATTGCTTGAAACCAAAGCTAGGGAAATGAGTTGTAAACAGCTCTTTCCAAGCTCGTGGAGCCTGTTTCAAACCAACCAAATTCGTGCAGCCGAAAAACTAAGGACTTGTTTGGTATCATATTTGAACTTTTTTATCATTTCTCAAAACATTTCTTGAAAACAATTTTTTTTTTAGACTAAAAAATTGGATTGGTTTGCGATTTAAATTTTTAAATCGTACGACTTAAACTAGACAAAGAGGTCTAAAAAGAGGGAGTCGCAGGAGAGGGAGAAAGAGGAGAGAGGAGGAAAGAAAGTAAGAGATAATTGAAGGAAAGAGAAAGAAGAGAGAGGATTGGACGAGATAGAGATGAAGAGGAGTGAGAGAAAGAACCGAGAGAATGAAGAGAGCAGATTGGAGGAGAGACGAAAAAGGTAGGAAAAAAAAAAAAAAAAAAAAAGTGAAGAAGAAAAGAGAGAGATAGATTTGGAATGAGAGGGGAGAAGGGAAAGAAAAGAAAGAAGTGAGTTTAAGTTTAAAAACTCTAAAAACTCACTTTTTATGTTTTTAGAGAATAGACTATATTTTTGAGTTAGTCTTGAGTCCAATTTTTGAAAATAGTCCTACCTAACATGCCCTAAATTAGTTGTAGTAAATATCCGCCATGTGGTTGTGCCATATATACTTCCTCGGCAAGAAATCCATGAACAATATCTGATTGCTTGATCTTCCAATTGAAATTTGCAGCAAGAGACACAACAAGTCTGACAGTTGTGTGTTTAACTACAACTCTAATTTATACTTGCAATCTATTACACCTGTCAAACGGTAAGAGCACTCATGTTTGCTACACTCAACAGAAGCCTCTATGATGCTGCCTCTCCTCGTCATCCCTTGCTCACAACTGGTGGAGTTGGATAATTACATGCTTGGAAACCATGATCACAGCCGTCCCATAACCTCACTTGATCGATATCACGACGACCAATATCAACGATTTACATGAAATAAGTACGTTATTACAATAGCATCTTGATGAGTCGGTATTATACTGTATATTTTGTCCTATTCTTAGTTATAATTTATTGGTTATTTTGTGAGAATTTTAATATTTTAAATTATATTTCCAATGTAGGACATTCGAATTCCTCTTGAGCAAAAAGTGATCAAACAAATAAATTATGAAGTGATTCCAATTGAAGGATGTTCGTTAGTCTTTCTACTTGATTGTATCAAAGTTTTAGATTTTTCTACCAAACGATTAATTTATGGCGATGAAATAAAGGAGCAACGCGCAGTGCTGTCAAAATGACGTTTTGGGCTTATTTGGCGTCCAAGATGATATCTTTTGGGTTCGAGGCCTTCTACAATTATTTTCGGGAGATCTCAAGCTTTCTTTCGAGTCATTTTGGGTCTGTTTTAGAGCCATGAATATCCATAAACGTGGGATTCTTTGTGGCTGGGCAGATTTCTCAAACTTAGAATATGATGTATTTTCTACTTATCTTATTCTATTATGTTTTCTTGTTTTATTCTAAGATCTTTTCTAGGAAGGATTTTATTTTCTAGTAGTATAAATTAGGCTATTTAGCCATTAGGGTGGGGGAACGCATCAATTTGGAGAACTTAGCTACGCTTTGACGATTGCTATTTTTCCTTCAATGTGCTTTTTATCCTTTTTCAATTTCAATAAAAATTCCTTTTGTTTCATGGTTGTTCGTAACTAATTTCCAATTGCTAGATGAGGCCACGAGCCTTACCATGAATATGTAGTTTTTATTTAATTGCTTATGGTATTATGCATGTGTACTTTGAATTATTAATTGCTGTGTTTAAACTGTCTCTATATCTGAATGCTTAGCCACCAATTGGATGTTTAGATAAGTAATTGGATGCAATTTGGTCGGAATATCATTGGAGGATTGAGTATTGCTTCTTGTGATTGGTAATTGTAATTTCACCAAAGACGAATATCATGTTCTTAGGGTTGCATGATTTTTCACAAAACTTAATGAGTCTTACACGTTCATATTTGATCTGAATATCATAGAAATATCAAAGTAGTATGATTTTGTAGATAGTAGGGTTTAAAGTGTTAGAAATCGTAAATGTACTTTAATTTCTTACCTATTAAGCACTAGCTTGCCTCACCGTACGCACTTACGCTACAATATTATAACCAATTGAACTAATTAAAAAGAGAAGTGCAAACATTATTGCTAGCCTATTGTGAGGTTTAATCCACTTCTCCACCTCCTTAGTGCAAAAAATATCGTTTGTTCAATGGAAAAAAAAAAAAAAAAAGTGCAAGCATTACTCGCCAAAACCTACAAAAGTTCTGTGGCTGCTACTACATCCCCAGCCAGCCGGCAGATACGAAGCATGTAACTCAATGTTTTGATTCTTCTGCTTCTGCAACGACGGTCCCGGTTAGAAACTTGGGATAATCTTGTATCTCCTCATCTTCTCGCAGTTTCTCCGGTCTCTTGGATGCATTTTGAGCTCGCCGGTACACCCCAACTCGAATCATCTACCTTCCCCCAACGTACGCTTCAATTATGTGTATCTTGAAGCTCGAATACTGCAATGAGTGCTTACCATGTATGGGTTTGTAACTAATTATATGGCATCAGATATTGTGATACAATTAACATCAGGGTTCCGAAACATAACATACGATTTTCACAAGCAATGTAGCATACAGTGCGAATAAAAAGAAATCTACTTGTAGAAAGGAAGGTTTAAAAATATGTCCTAGCTTAATTTTCTATTGGGGACCGCCCGATTAGCGTTTTGCAAATTATAATATCAAGTCGACCTCACAGTTGGTTGATTGCTGCTGTAGACGAACGGTTCTTTTGACAGATCTACATTATGCGTCGTGAATAGCTCTGTGGCGATGGCATTGAGCTTTACATGTGCTTCTTTGGCTGCATCAGCATCTCCTGCCTCCTTACTAGCCTCTGCAGATGCCATTGAACTTGCACTTGGAAGATTATATTCAGCTGGTTTATCGCTATTTGCAACAATAATTTCTGCAGTGTTCTCTGTTTCTTTTGCCAGAACAGCATTATGCGCTCTCATTAGCTCTGTGACGATGGCATTGAACTTTTCATGTGCTTCTTTGGTTGCATCAGCATCTTCTGGCTCCTTACTAGCCTCTGCTGATACCATGGAACTTGCACTTGAAACATTCTTTGGTGTAACCTTCTGACTCCTAGCATTGTGCTTCTTGCCGCTCATATGTTGTGACATCACCTTTGCATTGTTGGCACCCTTTTGGCACATTTCACACCAAAACTTAAAGCTACTTTGTTTTGCTACATCTTCATTTCTCTCCAGTCCATCAGCCGTTTCAACCTTGTCTTTATTCTTCAAGCCCCCTCCATACTGGTCTTCTGGCATTGACGGTTCCTCTTTGTCCTCTTTTGAAGTGCCTTGATCCTGCAATTTCTGGCCTGAACCATCACTGGTTTCAGTATGGTCAAGCAGTGATTTCCTTACTTGTTTGGCCTCCAATTTGGAGCTTGTGATACCATTGGTCTCTTTAGGCTTAGAAAACTGTGTAGATGGTGCATTCCTGGAGCTCTTGTCCAGTTGCTGAGCTCTCAATTCCGCTTCCTTGGCCTTGTGCTTCTTACCGTTTATGTGTTGAATTAAGCCTTTCTCAGTTGTTTCACTAACCTGGCACAGGGTGCAACTCCATTCCTCCCTGGGTTTCTTTTTCAACCCAAATGGAGGCAGCTCACTAGAACCCACTATCGGTGGCCTTTTCCGCTTGCCTCCAGAAAGATTTGGGTTAGGTTTTTCCTGCAACAAGGATATTTATACACAGTACATACCAAGGCAGTCTTTTAAAGTTTAATGCCAAACATCTGACTGATGGTAAAAACCAAAACAGCATTTCCAAATATGAAGTGCACTAACCTCTGCTGCAAATATAGAATGAATAACAGAAAAACAACTTGCAGTATTCGTAAGTTGAAAAGGCTTGACAGTGACTAGAAATGTGCTGTCTAGCAAATCTGCAAGATGTGTTTCAATTTTGGATACTACATTGCTGTTGCATAACTCAGCCAACAAATGAATCTAATATCAATAGTATCTGTGCAGGCAGACTCACTCGCTTGACCCTAATAGCATTGAGTAAAAAAAAAATCAAGATTTCGAAATAATTAAGAAGGAATCTGTGTTTCCAAAGTAGTTATGTATAAGAGACGGCATTTCTCACACAAGGCCACTATAAAGGACTGCTGCAAATGCATAGGGTAGCCTCCTCCAAGAGAACCCACAAATGAAAATTCAATTTCCAACGATCCACCAGAGCCATTAATCCATATTATTCTGTACCTTGATCAAACTGATGTCACTATAACAAATTGTCATAGTAAACCATCCTAGTATAATGATCCGGGACAAATACTCTATGTGATGAATGACTACAATGCCCCATTGAAACTGACTTTTAAAGTGCTGATCCACAAGCAAAAGGACTACCATATGCATACATAGCAAACCAATATAAAACTTGTTTGTCAATATTAGCATCGGTTTTGGGCACAGCCACCTTAGGCGATGCAGACGCTACTAAGAACACATGGTCCTCTTCCTCTATGTGTTGTATTTGCAAAACAAAGACCTGGAAAGGTCATCCTGCAAACTTGAAATGTTTATTTTTCACTTTCGTACATCGTAATTCATGATTCAAGAGACATTATACAATCCAAAACAAATTGCGGATCTTGGGATGCAAATGATCATTCATTTTATCATTTACTTTGTCGCGTATAAACAGTAAAGCATAAACAGAACACTGTCAAATCAAAAATAAAAAGTTTTAATGCGACTGACCAGTAAGATCAACTTGTTCTTGTTGCTGAGGTCTGAAGGAGGAGGAAGTAGCGGCGGCGATGACATGAAGCCGTTGATCATAGGTTCCGAAATCAGCAGTGGCAACGAGAACGAATCAAATGCGGTAGACGGCGACTTGAAGTCGTTGGTCACAGGCTCCGATATCGGCATTGTGCCGAACGAGAATGGTTCGAATACGGAGTTCTTATGAGCAGCGAACCGCATTGTGCCGAGTCCTTCAGCAGGGGCTGTTTTCATAGCCAACTCTCTCTCCAACTTGAGCTCTCTCCTGACCTCCGCTTCAAGCTCTCGCCGTCGCAAAGTCTCAGCAGCGATAATGTCCTCCCTTATCCTCTCCTTCTCCAGCCGGAGCTCCATCATCCGTATCGGGTCCGGATTCCGGAAAACCGATTGTGGTAGCGTAAAAGTCGGTTGGGTTGAGATCCCCGGTACGGTGGAAGTAATAGGAGCAGAAGTTTGGCCTGTTCGGATAGATTAGGTCAGAGAGACATTTTACCGAGCATGTGGTGGGCAAAATTTGAAGCGGAACTCAGAGTGTAAAGGTTAAATTTACCTTGCGGAGATGGACGCTTGGTGATTGCAGCCATGATCAGGTGCTTTGCTTCGTACTGGAGTCGAGTTGCATGATCTAACAACTCCCGCGCGCGTTCAAGGTCTGCAAATTCATCAGTTGCCGCCATGGTTTCACGTCCGGCGACGCCGCTAGAAGGTTGTTGTCCCGGATTGTGAAAGTAACGCGCTGTTTGTCTCTACTTGGGGGGACGGATTTTCGAGGGTTTTGATTTTTGTGTGATGAGGCATTTTCTTTTAATATTTTTATATAGGGATGCTATCCTCCCACTCATAGTTAATTTATATCATTTGATCTTTTTTTATTTATCCGATCTGATTGTTGAACATAAAAGGTGTGTGAGAATAAAAAAGAATGTGTAGTGTGTAGATATCACATCCCTTTATTTTTAATTTTTTAAGAAACAATATTATTTACATTTAAGATATAGAGGGTGAGCTGAGCTGTACAATGAGCTATATTCTTTAGGTGTCTTAAGACAGAATTTAGGTTTTGAACAGTGAATATCATCTAATCCTTCAAACTTAAATGTTTTAGAATTTAGGTCTAAAACATATTAATTGTTGTGAAATGGTTTTAACGGAATTTTATTTACTTTTGAGTTATGATATCTTAATTCAATTGTACAGAATGTTTCAATTTAAAAAAAAAATTGACAAAATGTAAAAAACAATCAAAATGTAAAAAAATTAAATGGTTTTAACGGAATTTTATTTACTTTTACGAATGTTTCAATTTAAAAAATAAAAAATAAATTTTGACAAAATGTTAAAAACAATCAAACTTTAATACGCAAACCAACAAACCAAACTTTAATACGCACACCAACTAAACTTCAATATACAAACCAACCAACCTAAATTCAATACACACACCAACCAAACTTCAATATACAAACATCAGTCAAACTTCAATATACAAACCAACCAACCAAACTTCATTACACACACCAACCAAAATAATTATAAAAGTTGATTGTTGCTCGTAACACCATGCTTAGAAATCGCAACCAAGGCCTCACACAAAGTTTCATCTTCTTTTTTCTTCCAATTTGGACCTCTTGCGTTTTGTCCTAAAGGCATCTTCAAAAAAATTAAGGGAGAGATAAGGATATGAAAATTATATGAGTAAGAAATTGATTTTGTGTTTTACTTTTTTTTTTTTTTTTTTAAATGAGTATTGAACATACACAAGAGTTTTACATTTTTGTGGAAAAAAAAATGTCGTACAAATGACATGGTTAGAAAGTAGAAACCCTCTCCACAACAGAGAAACTGGACTTCGCATGGTGGAGAAGCTAGTTTTGCATAGCATTGAAGCATTCCACCAAATCAGCATTTTTAAGTATTTGCATGGTTTAGACCTTAGGGCGGTAGAGAGAATGAGAAGAGACTACTGTTGTTTTGCAAAACGTTAACCAACAGACCTTAAATTTTCACTTTTTTTTTTTTTTTTTCCGCTCATTAATTGAGCCATCAATGTTTGACTTAAGATTGTAAAGAGCACAATTTTAGACTAAATTTTAGAAATGTCTTGAGAAATTATGAATTTTTTTTAATAGGATACCAAACAGACCTTAACTTTTTTTTTTTTTTTTTTTTACCCTGATAAATTTGAGGCATCAATGTTTGACTTCAGATTGTAAAGAGCACAAAACTGGCTCGAGCCTAAACTACATATATTACCCAATATTGAAAGAAAAATGTGAGATTAGAGTGATGGACGAAAGTTATCAAGAGGAAAACAACAATAGCAAGGCATCTATCGGCCACTTCAAGCAGTGTACCAAGTGCTCTTTTGTTGACATGGCTTACGGAGTTGCTATGCATCCGCACTTCTTGATCCAAAGCCAAGTTTACTGCACACCGATGGTAACAAATTGCTGCCGAGAAAAAGTGTTCACCGATCAGTGGTGCACAACGCAGAAGATGCAAATCCCATAGGGTCGAGTCCAGGGACGAGTGAGTACCAATCTGGCAGTGAGATATTTCCAATTAAGCTGATGGAGCATAGATGACTTAGGGTGTTATTATGTGACCAGAACACTTGATTCGAGCAATGCTAATCGGTTTTTGGTGAGAGTAATCTTCTCTTCTGTTTCTGCTGCCTTTTCTTGAACTCCACGGACAATATCTTCAGGAGCTTTCTCCACAAACTGCATGCGCAAAGCTGATATTGTCAGAGGTATGATATGTGTGCATACATGAAGAGCATGTGAACGACTATGCTAAAGAAAGAAAGGACTCAACATAACATGCACGCATCATAACAAGAAATTACTATAACTCACTTTTATTTGTTTTCATTTAACACGAGATGCAAACAATTTAACGAAACTCCAGATGATGGATGTATCAAGTGTGGCAGAATTGATGTTGGCAAAATTTCCAAAAGTTCCGGTTATCCAAAATTTCTAAACTCATCTTACCAAATGTTTTAGGTTTTTATTTAATTTTGGTTCGAAATCCAATCATTTCAGTCAATGGATCCTTAGGGAACAAGACATGTAAAATACTTTCTCCGATCAATGCCAACTGCCAATCGCTTAAACATGAGTTAAAAATATTCATACTTTAGGAGAGCTGAGCCGAGATATAAGTCCATCATATTCTGTCTGCATCTTGGAAAGTCTCTTAGATAGGCGTTGGATTTCAGCAGTAATATCAATCATGTCAGCAAGAGGGAGATATGCCTCTAGCCCTTCACCAGCTACAAGATGGACTGATTGATCCGCATTCCCTGAAATAAAAGACATCCACCAAATATATGCCTCAGCATCAGGTCATATAAAGCCATAAAAATAAATGACAATAAACATGAACATTTCTGGGCCTTGGCCAAATGGAAAATAATCGATGAAGAAACATGCCTGGAGGAGAATCGGTAAAATGGATGTTTTGTAAATCTAGCCTGGAGAGAAGAGCTAAAACTTCCTTTTCCTTCTGCATCAAAATATAAATAAATATTTAAGTGAGTTAGTGGTAATGATAATTATGTCCAAATAAAAATCATTGCTGGAGAATGAATACGTACCCATATGTATTCAGTGACTTCTTCATTTGCAACTATAGATGCTGATATACGCTTTACAGGCTCAACAGAATATTCTGCTCGAGCATTTCTGATAGCTCTAGTCTAAGAATAACAAAGAAGAAAACTTAGTAATTTAATCAACCACTTTTGACTACAAGAAAACTATACAAGATAGCACAAAGTACCAGTTGGATTTGGGTATGGACCACTAAACAAGAAGGATGAAGGAATATCCACTCACCAAGGCCTGTAAATTTTCAAAATTTTTAATCGAATTGCTCTTCCTTGGAAGTGAAGTCAGTGGCCACGGAGATACAATAAGAGCTTCTTTTCGGTAGGGGAGTGCCTGTATCAAAGCAATCATTCATTTTAATTGAAACATTATCGAGGACAACAGTACAATGAAAGCGAACAAGCAGTCCACCCTAAATTCTAAGCAAAAGCTTTTCCATTTAATAATTACACCATAAGAAAATAATAAATACCTTATCAGTAGAGATAAGAAAATAATAAATACCCTATCAGTAGAGAAGTTGAATTCAACTCAAATGCTGAATATAGTGAATCAATTTTACCTGCCAGAGTTCCTCGGTCACAAATGGCATGAAGGGGTGTAGTAATTTAAGTATGTTTTCAAAAACATACAATAGAACTGCCTGTGTGACAGAAGCAACTGAACCACCACCAGAGTGGTAAAGACGAGCTTTACTGGCCTCGATGTACCTACAGAAGTGAAATAAGTCAACAATTGACAAGGGCGTAAATCAGTGCATCTGAGCTAGGCAGAAGATATTTTAGTAAGAAACACTCACTTTCAATGATAAAAAAGAGCAACCTAATACTGGGGAAAAGTTCCAGTCGTCTAGCTAGGCTAAACAAAACAGAGCTGTACCTCAGTATTACACGGCAGCAGAAAAAATGAATACCAAAATACATCAGCCACTCCAACCATAATAAAATATAGCTGGACAGTAAACTCTGAAGACACTGAAGCCTAAAGGGAAGCCAAAAAACCAACTCATTCCACTAACGACCCAACTCATCCTGTGTTCCTCCAAATATTCGGAGCTTGAACTTCATGACACAAATATAATGACCTAACCAAAAAACCCTGCACAGGATTTTTCCTTTTGGCAATTCTGATAAAAGCTTTTGGTAAGACTAATTCTGAAGCTCCATTTCCTTCCAGTGGCATATATATAAAGTTTGGTCCAGCTGGTTAGTTGACCTATTAGAGATTTTATTGGCCAAACATCAACATGCTACAAAATACCTAATCATAATACCAATCTGCATTGTTATCAGCCACAGAAACCAAAATGAGTAGAGTCTCAGAAAGTATTTTGTGATTCAGAGGTTTCTTTGGGGAGGTTCAAAATCTTTTAAGATATACAAGAGATTGACTTTATATAACAGAAAAATATATTATTTAACATTGTCACTCCTAATCGGTCAATTTTTATTTTGGACAGGAAACCTAGAAAAAGTAAAGCGAGATCCAGCACCTTTGTCCAAAAGGACAAGGGGCCCACAAGCAGAAACACAAGAGAGTAGTTCAGTGTATCCAATGGACGTGGATAAAGTAGCAACCAAACCCAAACCAGTAGGCAATGGGTGGAAAAGCCCATGATGTTGCATATTGCCATGCAACACTTCAAACTCCTGATATGGGATTCTATACCCCACTTAGGCTGGGTGTGACTGAACCAAACACATGGATGAATTATATTGGGAGATATGGAGCACCAGCAGGCGCTGGTTCTGACACGTGGATTACCCTTGCATAAATTTTCAAAGTCAGTATTCAACTTAAAACCAATTGGCATTGGGTGCAAAGTCTATAAACATTGAAGATTTCCATGCAATGCGTAGGATCCACAAAGATTGCATGTTCTCAATAAACGACTTTGGAGTGGTATGCCGCCAGTTTGTGTTTAAGTTGCTTAAAGAGATTTTTATTTTTTTTTAAATTTGTGTAGGCACATAACATAAGACTATGCTTTTGATTATTATCTGGTTGAAAACATTTAATGGAAACTCAAAACATACCAATCAGCAAAATCTCCCCAAAAGAAATCATATATCTCTCTTCCTACATCTCCAAAGAAAAATTTGTCATAGCTTGTGGTGACTGTGTCAATAAGCAAATGAAGTTTTGAAATCTGAAAAAGGGAGAAAAGTGAGTGGTTAAACAAAGAAGTAAAA